TTTTTTTTGGTGTGCTGTAAGGAAGGCTTAGCACCATGCATGGCCTAGGGACAACTGCTTACAGCGCAGCGTGGCGTAAACATATCGCAGTGTAGCAGAACAAGAGAGGATTGTACAAAAGGTGGTCAGGAGTAAAACACAGCTGAAATGCCTCTTCCCCTGCCAAAAGGGGAGGCGCTTCACTTCCACGTTTCACTGCAGCCAGCCAGCCTGCCCCCTTTTCGGCACTCCTATGCGGCTGTGTGCTGTGATTCAGCACCACAAAACCAACATCAGCACAAGTAAACCCCCCTCTACTTGTACACAGGGGGTCCGTGCATGCCCTATAATACCCCCAACACAGGGCTAGACACCACGGACATAGCCTTTATTTTTAGGCTGAGACTAAGCACAGTATGAAAATCATCAGGCCAAGACCATTCACACTAAAGCAGGGCACACAAGTACCCACATAAAAGGTTTCAGCAGCGCAAACAAGACCCCTGTGCCCTGTCTGGCCACTGCCAGTGATCCTTGCTGATGGGTTTTGGCTATGGGATTAGCCTTTTGATGTTAACAGCAGGGTGCCAGGTTGCATTTCCCCCTGTAGAGCATTATCACTCCCTCACATTTGTGACATTAAACACAGCAATGTTGCAGGTGCAGTAATATATACTGAATAGAACAGCTGGTTGTGCATGTTTTATCAGCTTTTATATAGTGGTGTGGCATTTAGCAAGTCAGTCCCCCCCTCATTAGTGCAAATATACCATGTTCAGCTCAAAAGGAGATGAGTGTGATGAAGTGACTTGCCTTTGCAAAGCATGCTCTAAATACTAGTTCGAGCCCTTAAATTTTAACATCACGTTGTGGATTAATGGGAAAGGAACATGACATACACTATTGGAAAACACAGAAAGATTTCAAGAGCATCCAAGAGATTCTGAAAAGAGAGGATCAATAGTATCAACCGAGGCTATGTCCAATAATGGAAAAATCATGAGGTTAGCAGGGAAAGGCAAACATGTAGCAGTCCAACATGACAGTTTTGGAGGATGGTCCTCCCAGGCTGATGCAACACTGCACCTGTTTATCCAGTCCATCATTTGCCTGTTAGTTGCAATTTTTGTATTTTTAAAAATAAATGCTCCTCATTGTTGTAAAACATGGAAAATGTCTAATCAGTGGTGTTAGTACTGGTGTAGAAATGAGCTTGGACATGTACATGGACTTGCTCTGGGACTGAATGAGAAAGCAGCCGCTCATCTGTTTATTCTTTACTTGTAATGTTTATTTATAATCAAAACAAATGTTAAGAGACCAGATGGATAGAAACCTACACCTACTGGATTTGTAGGTGACTGCACCTACAAATCCCATCAATGAAGTGAAATATGGGCAAAGGGTAAAAAGTCAGATTTATGCAATGAGTGTTAGAAGAAAAAAACCCAAAAAGGAAAAGAACTGGAAACCGGCCAAAAGCATACACAACTGGTTTCAGTTGCCTCCAAATGCCCGTCTAGCAACAGTGAGACTAGGC